AACCTCAATTTACGAAGTTGAACTAAACATATCAAAAGTGTTTTCAGCGCTCTTGCATGTCTCTACCAAAGGTTACTGTCAAAATGTTGTGGATGGCTGTCATGACCTGAAATAACCCCAGGACATATGTAGAGGTCACAGGTGCAATTTCCCGATTAAATATGTCACGTTTCATGCTACCCGTGTCCCGTTATTTGAGTGCATTGTTTAGTATGTTAATATGAGTTTCGTGCAACAGAAGCGCAGTTCAATTGTCTCCCATTGACTTACCTATAAAAGAAAGGTCGCAAAACCAACAAAACCCTAGGTCAGTGACAGTGAACTACCGAGGTAGAGGTACTTTACGTGTATATGGTGCTCTTAGTAATCGCTGCCAACGTTTTAGACCGATTGTTCAGTCTGTGTTGTAGCTATGACGGGCATTATAACTAAGTTAAGGTAATGCCACTTGGACGTAACCTGGTGACCTAACCTTGAGTGACCTGGGTCTGAAAGCTATGCAGCATGTGTGAAAAAGATGCATGAAAGGGTGTGCTAAAAACGGCGGCGCTCCACAACGCCGTTTTCGAGATATTTACATAAACCTACATGGGGTGTCCAAGCATCCCCACCGCCCGGCGCGGATAATTTTTTTTTTTGCACGTGCAGAGCGCACCTTCGGGGTCCACCAGGAGATGGATATGCTCAATAACTATGCGGGAATGCATTCCGGGTGGCCTGTGTAAATTTGGTACTTTGAGCTTGCTAGCGCTACCCGCTCTGCCCGTATATGTGACACAGAGTGCAACATCAAAAGGTTTGCACGTGCACAGCACGTGCACCGTGTACCCCAGCACATCTATTTGCACAGCGCCTTAAAGCGCTCGTCCAGTCGTGTCAGTGTGCCAAATTTGGTGTGCCTAGGTCAAGGTTTTCCGGAATCGGAGGATTCCTCCTCAAAACATGTTTTTCGCCCCTGGCGCGTGCATTCCGCACCCCCTGCTGCCGAGCCTACTATATGTTAATGGTCAAACACTGGGACATGTGGCCTGTGAATTTGGCACCTGTGTCGCCCACCGTTTAATTTGGAGCGTCGCTTAAAGGTTTTTGCCCTTCCTGACTTAATCGGCACGTGGAACGCGCCACGTGACACCGAATGACCTGTGACATGCATCATCACCTGCCTCAAAGCATTACCCGTCGAACGGTACCACCAGCATCTCTATCCGATCATCCGTTTAGACGCAATTCCAATTGTATTGGCTCGATGACCTTTCAGAGCCCGGGTTTTTGGCAACGTAAAATGGCGCCTTGTCGGCTTCACTATCTTCCATAGGAGGTCCATTGGGATCGTCAGTCCAGTTTATTTATACGTCCGTGACATTTACCCACAGAAAAACATCATTTTGGGAGTCCAACCACGTTCCAGAATGTGTGGTCTCCCTCCACTTGTACAAATACATTTAAATATCTACCGCCATCTTTGCTCCGATCTTTGCCCACGTAAAGAAGCCCGATTTTACGTTGATGACATCATTTAACATAATATGTGCTGCTTCTTTTGCTTTACGAACTGATTTTGACATTCCTTCCTCGATGACGCCCGCCCTGGACCAGTCTGACAGGCTTCCACACTTGTCTATGTGTGGAACGAATGCGTTTTTTGAGTCGTGATTTCGGACGTCCCGTTTGTGCTCCTTCAGCCGTGTTTCTAAGCCCCTTCCTGTCTCTCCTATGCATGATTTCTGACACGGGCCAGAGCAGGGAATTTTGTAAACCACGCTGTCCGTTTGTTCCTTGTTGTTGTGTGGTTTGGTCAAACTTTCAATTTCTTTCCAGTTACGATAGCGACATTGGTACCAGCAGCACGAAGGGAGCTGGCGATCGTTTCGGCGTGTTGTGAGTTCGGTAGTGATATAAAACGTCCTCGCTTCGTTCGCTCTCGTCTCTTTTCTCTTCGTTCTTCCGCGGTTCTATCTCGAATTTCCTCTGTCTTCTTCTTCATGCGAATGACATAGCCTTTTGGATATTTGAGTTTCTCAAAAGTAGCAAAAATGTGTTTGATTTCTCCGTCGAGGAACTCCTCACTACAGATACGATAGGCCCGTAAGAAAAATCCAATCACTACTCCGTTTTTCACTCGCTCATTATGCTCTGAGAAAAAGTGGACATAATCCTTCTTATTTGTAGGCTTCCGGTAAACAGTAAATTTCAGTCTACCTTCCCTTCGCATGATCAGCGTGTCGAGAAAGGGAATCATGCCTTCGTTTTCAGTTTCGAGGGTGAATTGAATTTTTGAATCAACTGCATTTAGATCCGTTAACTTCTTTTCCACGTCCACATTTTCCGGTGCCAACACAAGCACATCGTCGACATAGGGTAGGGTGGGGTAATTTGAACATGTGGGGCAATTTTAACATAGTGTGAATAACAGAAAATTACGGAAAATCCATAAGTGGCATGACAATAAGACCAATGAGAGAAATTATCGTAACTAAAAGGGCTATCATATGAACGGGGTTTAAACTTTCAGGGATAAACTTTATATGAAGATGTTGACGCACAGTGTAAAAAATCAATTTCGTAAGAAAAAACGCCTATCAACACGTCATTGCAACTTCATTGCAGCGCAAAATCTTGCATTGCTAGCGCCTAATACGCAACGGCTTTTGTTGTATAATGACCTAATCAGTGCCTTCAATCCAAGAAATTTGCTTTTGAACCATGTTTTTTAAAATGGCAAAATAACTTTTAGCGTGGGGTAATTTGAACATAGTGTGAGAATTTCAATGAAGACAGGGATAGCTCCGAAAAAAACAACGCTCCCAGTTTTTTTTTTTGCCAATATTTTCGACCCAAGGCAGTAGCAGATAAGTGATGCCAGTTTTAGAAAATTTACGTCTAATATCCGTCTAATGTCCGGCATTTTTGTTGATTTTCCGTCCAAAAATGTTAAAGTCAACTATTTGTCCAAATATGTCCGAAAATTATGCAGCTATCAACACTCAAAACCGTCATTTATATTGCTTATCATGTAATTTTACCAGCCGAAAAGTGTTCATTATATTGAGAGCTTAACAAGCTTTCCATTCGCCAATCAATGCTATGCGCGATTACTTTATAAAAAGCGCTGAAGTGTAGCAAGCCATCGTCCAATGTTGTCCAGTCTGCTACCTTTGTCCAACCAATTCCGAATTGAACATTGAACAAAATCAGAACTCCAAATGTCCAGGTTTCGATTGGCACCACTTTAACAGATGTAGTACGGTTGGGAGAGTTTTATCGAACAAAAATGATAGACGTTCTGTTAATTGAAGAGGGGCGAATTCTGTCAACTGACCGGTGTGCAGCGTGCAGATATTGATACTCTGCAACTGTTATTTTTGCTGTTGTGTTGATTTTTCAATTAAAGGTATGTTTAGAATTGTTCTGCCTATTTGTTTATGGGTCAAACAACATCGGTGCTGGCGAGACTATCGTTTTTATGACAGGTAAAGGCAGTATGTTCAAATTACCCCACGGTGGGGCAATTTGAACACACCGTGACTTGGTGGAGAAGTGAGGCTATGCTATTCAAGGTATGCTCGGCTCGTCCAAAAATGAGGCTTGCATGGTGAAAGCAAGTGACACTTGCGCTACTGAAGCAGTTTTTCTTCATCCAGGGTTGAACTGGAATTTGGTACAACGGAGAAGACGTAAAAATATGTTCAAATTACCCCACACTACCCTATCTAATCCACATGCAGTCTTGGCCCATAATGGGCCTATGATTAGATAATAGATAGATAATAGATAATAGATGCCTATGATTAGCGTTGTTCCCTAAGCACCGACTGAAAGGACATTTTGATACAAGAAGAATGCCAATGAAATATTAAGAAAATGTTCTGATAAAAGGTGCACAGTAAAGGATGTCTTGTTGGCATTTTACACATTTTAACTGCCACTTTTATCACTGAAATTTTTAATAATATATATTTTCTCATCTATGTCTTCACTTCCTTCTGTGTGGTCTGATACCACTTAAAATTAGCAAGTGGAATGCCCAATGTATCATACTTGATACAAAATTTATTTCCGAAATTTGAACTGCGAATAAATATTTGACATCAGATTTCGAAAAAGGGACCCAAAATGAATCATATGTCACAAGGTGTTAATTTTAGGAACCGTGGAACTATGTGTGGGCATTAGAGGGTTAAGCTGGAAATCTGGGTAATGGTAGAGCTGGGGTCACCATCAGCATATAGGTATCAGTCGGGCAAACTGCAGGGAGGTAATCTAAAATAAGATTTATCTAATTTAAGATTATGACGTCACCCAAATGGGCTGAGTGATAACCATATAAGGAGCGATAATCATTATTTAGACTATATTTCCGACATGTCCACATTTGAACCCTCCACAACCATCGAAGAACTGCTCATAACCACAATATTTTTTTTTTTTGTTGACTGACAGACAAAAATTGATCCTACAAATTGTGAACTGGTCAGCTCATTTGAGATTGGAATTTGTCACTGGTGACCAAGATATTTGGGTATTAGTAGAGCAGATAGATATTATAGGATTAAATTGGACTTACTCCACAAGAGAATCGTTTTCGGTCGGAGCTTTCGACATGTATTACATGTCCTCTTCAGCGAAGGTCGGTAATCGGGGCGAAAATAAAACGTTCGGGTCGAATCGAATCGCACAAGATGTCGGTGAGCTGCGCAGAGTTATTTCAGGCCGCTTGAATTATAAAATAAGCAAGCCTGAAACACGTGACGACAATAAGAGTACACTCAATGAGAAAGTCTACCAAAAAACACGAACGCATACCACACTAATAAAATCCTAAAAAATATAGAAATCAATACATACTATCTCGGTACAGAAATATAAAACGTTATACATACCTATAAATACCACAAAAGTTAAAAACTACAAAGATGCTAAAGCAGGTGGGGTACAAAAGTGTAAAGAGATCAATATAAAAAACACTATCACACGATATAAATGTTTAACACACTATAAAACTACTGGCAAACACGACGAATTATTGGCAGCCAGCGGTCTTGCAGCAGCGCACCTGAGTTTCTGTTCACATTCGCATCATTAGGCGACACCAAGACGGCCTCCCGCCGTCCCACAGTCCGGATGTACGCCGACCCGAGCAGCAGTCGCATCTGGTAGTGGCTGGCTCGATTTAGTACCTTGACCTCATCGAAGGCAGGTGAACAATCCCTGTGAGCACTGAAGGCCGATGCGTTGGCTCTCGAGCGAACAGCTCCAGTCCAGCTCTCCCGGTGTTCTCTGACTCTGGTTCCCAGCTCACGGTCTGTCTCGCCGATGTAGACCACAGGATCACCGTCAACTTGGCAGGAGCACTCGATCTTGTAGACCACGTTGCTCTCCTGCAGCTTCGGCAAGTGGTGCTTGGCTTTACTGCAGAGCAATGATCCGATGGTCAGCGACGGCTTGGAGACCAGCTGGATGCCGATCTTGCTGGCTTCCCGCTTGAGCTGGTAAAAACAGGAGCCAGCGAACGGGACTGACACTCTGACAGGCGCAGCTGGTGAGGTCGAGCTTGGTGGTGACGGTAGAGCCCTGGCCTTCAGTCTGAGATCCGCTTGCGCTTTCTGGATGGTGGACTCGATGAATGGGAGCGGGTAGCCATGCTGACGGAACTTGCGGCGTATAAAGTCGAACTCCTGCTGGCGGGTTTTGATGGTCGTGCAGTAGCGGATGGCTCGAATGCAGTCCGATCTGATGGCCGACCTGAGATAGCGGGTCTCGGTGTATGATGAGAATGCCGGTACTTGATCAGTGCTGCATGCTTTCCGGTAGACCTTAGTGCTGAATCGGTCTTCCTTTCTTGTTATGAGGATGTCGAAGTAGGGCAGCTGTCGGTCAACTTCAATGTCAGTGGTGACCTTGATGTTAGGGTTCTTGCCGTTGAGCAGGTTCACCCACGCACTGAGAGTGTCATCGCTGCCCTCGAACAACACTAAGTAGTCGTCCGCATACCTGCAGAATGACTGGACTCTGCCTCCGCAGCTGGCTGCCAAGAGCTCCAGATCGAGATCTCCAGATCTCAGGTCGGCCATCAGATCGGACTGCATTCGAGCCATCCGCTACTGCACGACCATCAAAACCCGCCAGCAGGAGTTCGACTTTATACGCCGCAAGTTCCGTCAGCATGGCTACCCGCTCCCATTCATCGAGTCCACCATCCAGAAAGCGCAAGCGGATCTCAGACTGAAGGCCAGGGCTCTACCGTCACCACCAAGCTCGACCTCACCAGCTGCGCCTGTCAGAGTGTCAGTCCCGTTCGCTGGCTCCTGTTTTTACCAGCTCAAGCGGGAAGCCAGCAAGATCGGCATCCAGCTGGTCTCCAAGCCGTCGCTGACCATCGGATCATTGCTCTGCAGTAAAGCCAAGCACCACTTGCCGAAGCTGCAGGAGAGCAACGTGGTCTACAAGATCGAGTGCTCCTGCCAAGTTGACGGTGATCCTGTGGTCTACATCGGCGAGACAGACCGTGAGCTGGGAACCAGAGTCAGAGAACACCGGGAGAGCTGGACTGGAGCTGTTCGCTCGAGAGCCAACGCATCGGCCTTCAGTGCTCACAGGGATTGTTCACCTGCCTTCGATGAGGTCAAGGTACTAAATCGAGCCAGCCACTACCAGATGCGACTGCTGCTCGGGTCGGCGTACATCCGGACTGTGGGACGGCGGGAGGCCGTCTTGGTGTCGCCTAATGATGCGAATGTGAACAGAAACTCAGGTGCGCTGCTGCAAGACCGCTGGCTGCCAATAATTCGTCGTGTTTGCCAGTAGTTTTATAGTGTGTTAAACATTTATATCGTGTGATAGTGTTTTTTATATTGATCTCTTTACACTTTTGTACCCCACCTGCTTTAGCATCTTTGTAGTTTTTAACTTTTGTGGTATTTATAGGTATGTATAACGTTTTATATTTCTGTATCGAGATAGTATGTATTGATTTCTATATTTTTTAGGATTTTATTAGTGTGGTATGCGTTCGTGTTTTTTGGTAGACTTTCTCATTGAATGTACTCTTATTGTCGTCACGTGTTTCAGGCTTGCTTATTTTATAATTCAAGCGGCCTGAAATAACTCTGCGCAGCTCACCGACATCTTGTGCGATTCGATTCGACCCGAACGTTTTATTTTCGCCCCGATTACCGACCTTCGCTGAAGAGGACATGTAATACATGTCGAAAGCTCCGACCGAAAACGATTCTCTTGTGGAGTAAGTCCAATTTAATCCTATAATATCTATTTGCTCTCCACACTAACATGTCTCTAAGTAGAGCAGATGTTACACAAAGGTTTTCCAACTGAGGAGAAGTGCTCATATGCTTCTTGCTTCCAGAGATGCTTCTTTTTAACACCAAACCAAACCTTACCTGACATAATCTAACCTACAAGTCAGCATACGGAGGGCAGCGCTTTTCGAGGAGCGCTGCGGCCCGAAGGTTTGAACTTTGAATTGTGAAAAACGCCCGCCCGCCGTAAAACGCAAACACCGCAAAACGCAAACACCGCAAAACGCGCAAAACGCACGCCCGAAACGCCAACGCAAAGGTCGCAAAAAATAAAAAACGCCCGCCCGCCGCAAACCGCAAATAAAAAAAACGCAAAAACGCCGCACAACAATAAAACCACCCGCATCGCACGCCCGCTAACCGCCAAATGAAAACGCCTAAAAATCGCCCGCCCTCCGCCAAAAAAAAAAAAAAAACACCGCAAAAAAACGAAAAAGCGGCCGCCAACCGCAAACAAATTTAACACCGCAAACGACGCAAAAAATAAAAGCGCCCGCATCGCCCGCCCGCCCGCCCGCCGCCAAAGACAAACACCGCAAAAAAAACACAAAACGCCCGCCCGCCGCAAAACGTAAACACCGCAAAACGTGTAAAACGCACGCCCGAAAAGCCAACGCAAACGGCAAAAAAAAATCGTCCGACCGCCGCAAACCACACAGAAAAAAAAACGCCGAAATGCCGAAAAAATAAAACCGCCCGCACGGCACCGACGCTAACTGCTAACCAAAAACGACTAAAAGTCGCCCGCCAGCCGCCAAACGCAAACACCGCAAATAAGCGCCCAGCCGCAGCAAGATAATAATTTATCAACGACTGTCATACCGCTAGGCTGGTCATTTTCACAAATCAAAAAGATATCTGCAAAAATCTCCTAGATGAAAGCGCCCGATTCATCATGGGTGCGCCGAAATGATCAAAAGTCCCAATTTCCGGTGTGCAGGGTCATTTTCAACGGCACGTGGCACGTGGTTCTGGACTTTTCCGGCCACTTTGCGACATACCCATGGGTAGTGCACCGAATGGTGGTTGATCTGCATGGAAGAAAATGGGGGGTCGTTTGGATCGTTTTCGAGCAATCTGCCGTGGAACGCATTTTTTCATTTTGCCCATTGGCTTAACACGGGAATTTTCAAAGTCACGTGGCACGTGCACCAGATGGTCCGCGGAGGGGAGACCCATACCAAAACGTAGATCACCTGGCCCACTAGAAATCCTGAAAAATCAGAATTTTTGGAGCAGCCGTTTTCAAGAGCATCAAGTTGTAGTGATCTCAGGCAGCTTTTGCCAAATTGTCAGGGAACTCAGATTTGTTTTTCAATAGAAAAACACAATTCTAAAGAATAGTGTTTTAACTATTGACAACAAACCTTCGGTTACAACCTAAAACCCTACAACCTACAAACCTACAGCTGTGCCTCTCCTTGGTTGGAAACCCTTCCTATGAGTATCCTGCTCTCTTTGCCTATTTATCTACTTGGTAAGCATAAGCGCCTTCATTTGACATCTGCTCTACTAGTGCCATTAATTCTAATTTGTCGTCGACCGGCGACCGCGGTCAAGGTCGGATCGGGCGCGCGCCGCTCCGCCCCGCTGTGCGGTGTGAGGCAGTGAGACCAGCGGAGCCGGCGTCTCAGTGCTGGACTTGCGATTATGATCGCGTGAGTCCCGCTTAGTGTGGAGCCTGCGACGGCAACGTCTTTGTGCCTCGATTGAGTGACACTACGCGTCGGTGACTCGGTGCCTAAGGCTAGCGCACGGTGATTGTGTAGCGATTCTAAGTGACGCTCGCGCCATGTCACGCCGAGGCGAGACACGGGTCGCTGACGACAGTGCCGACCGGAGTGGGTTACCTGTGGAGGGAGATCGGCAAACTGTCAGTGAACTAGTAAGAACATATGATGACCCTCGCTCAGATGGACAAAAGCGAGACAGATCCGAATCGGGCGACTCCGCGCCGGCTGGCAAGCGCGGCGCCAGGGAGCGAAGCGGGGAGCCGGTGCGGAGCCCGTCGGCGAGAGATCGCGGCTTGAGAGAGCCTCGACAGCGCGTTCGACGAGCTGGAGAGGCGCGTCACCCAGTCCCTGCTGCGTGACCTGCACGAGTTCCGCGCGTGCCTCTCTGCCGAGATCGAGAAGCTGAGCGACAGGGTGAAGGACCTCGAGCGTCATGTAGAGGAAAAGGATGGCACCATCGACCAGCTGTCCGACAATCTCCGCCAGTCCAGAGAGGAAGTCGCCGCGCTGCAGATTCGGGTGGAGGAGGCAGAAATTAATTCGCGTCTGCCGTGCCTGATTTTGTCTGGGACGGCCATGGCGCCCCGCAACGCTCCACGGCTGAAGTCGCCCGTGCCGGCGGCACATGCCGGGGCTGACCCGGGTCAAGGACGCGCCGGAGATACGTCACAGCCGGAGGGCCGCCCTTCCAGCGGACAGGGGAGAGGACAGGAGCTACCCTCCTCTGCAGGGAGCGGCGGCAGCTGGCGTGGCGCGGCGCCGGGTCGGCCGGCGGCGCGCGGTGGAGCCTGGGAGGAGCGCGAGGATGTCAACGAAGTCGTCATCAGCACCTTGAACCGGTGCATGGCGCATGCCGGGTCTCAACCTCGCCGCCGGAGACATCGATCGCGCTCATCGTTTGCCTGGTGCCAACAACCGTGTGATCGTGCGTTTTGTGCGGTCGGGACAGAGCAGTGTCCGGGACCAGATCTGGACCAGACGACTGGAGCTGCGCGGCAGGGAGCTGTTTATCAGCGAGTCCCTGACTAAGCTACGGAGTCTGATTTTCCGCTCACTCCTGGCTACGAAGCGTGAGAAGCGGATTTACACGGTCTACACACGCGGTGGACTAGTTTTCTTCAAGGAGAAGCAGCATGGAGTGAGTACCAGGGTTAACACTCTGCAGAAGGTGCGCGAGTCTGGATTAGTTGTATTGGACCGTTGAGATCTGGTTAGGTGTAAGTTATTTACAAAGGAGCTCCATCTACCTGGAATAGTGATTAAGCTAAGATTGAGCTCCAATAGTAGGTAGTCCGACTGCACGATTATGACACTTGGCTGACAGTTGTGCGAGATGTGACATATCTATACTACTATTTGAACAGGATCCGTCTGTTTGTTTGTTTGTTTGTCCGCCACGCCGTGTAGTGGGTTCAATTTAGCCGGCCTACAGGACAGACGGTATATCGTAGGGGGTTGTAATTTGCACACCTTATAGGTGACAGAGCGGGTCAGCGCCTTTTCTAGGTTCCGACTCGCTGGGGTGCACGGTTCGCGCGTGGCGGGCGCCGGAAGAACGCCAATGAAATTTTGATCGGTTCATATATCTTCATTGAGAGCCGGGGTCGACAAACTTTGTGAGCTAAATGCATGCCGATCGGCGGCGGGTGCCTCGCATTGGCGGATGGGCAAGTTTTAATTTGAATAAATAGTGGCGAAAATATGTGTTGATTTTCATTCAATGGGAACAGTTTGTGATACGAGTATCCAAATGCACCGTGTTTGCCGCAATGCGTCACAATTATCTGAGGGCGTCATTTTTGCCGCAAATCGCACAGTTTTGTCAAATATAGTCCGATATGGGTGTAATTTGGTGTCAAGATGCATGCTCAATCGCCGGGCGAAAATGCGCCGCGTTTGTCGCAATGCGCCACATATGCCACAAAGCGCCATTTCCGACAAATACGGTTAAGCGTAATGGAATGGCACGAATAGGGGCAGGGCTGGGAACACTTAAAGTCTGATATTTTAGTACTGATTGGATCCAATTATTCTGTGACCTGACAT